TGTGGTAGTTAAAGTTGTGGGTCAACTTGGCTGGGCCTGGTTGAGTGGCTGGGCAGCTGGTAGTAGTTATTCTCCATGATGAGACTGGCAATCACCTCCATGGTGTGATCTACCACAAGCAGCTGAGTAGCTGCTTTGGGTATGTGGTCTGCTTCCTGTATATAAGAAGCAACTTTGGGAATGGTCTCTAGCTTATGGCACACTTGGACTCTGCATTAGCTGAGTTGTTGTTCAGCAGCCTGCCATGCTCTGCCAAACTTGGGATTTATAATGGACTTGAATTAATGGCCTGCCATGTGGTTTGGTAACATTGGGACTGTGACATATTATTTGTCAACCTTGGGCTTGTTAGCCTCAGCAGCCAGTAGCTGCCTGAGGGAAGAGATGTCTCTAGCTTCAATGGGCTGGGAGCAAGAGGCAGAGCTGAAGCCCAAGGTTGAGGGGCTTTCACTCAGCCTATAGAGCCTGGAACTATGAACTTGGACTTAAAGCCTCCAAACTGTGAGAGAATAAACTCCTGTTTGTTAAAGCCATCCCATTTGTGGTATATTCTTGTCAGAGTGGGACTAGGTAACCAGAACAACATCCTACTTTGGTGAGTCGTGAGTAAAAGCTTGCAAGGGGTCACCTAAAATGCAACAATTGGTCTCTCCTCATCTGCAGCAAAGAAGAATGAAGAAAATAAAAGACACAGGGATACAATTAGTCTAAGGCACCAGCGGACCATGTGAACCTCAGCCTACATGACCCTGCCATTGCAGACCACTAGGAAGGGTATCAGTATAGAAGAACCTGGATAGAGGGGGAGGAGAAAAACTCAAATTCCTAAAAAAGACCAGACTTACTGGTCTGATAGAGACTAGTGAAACCCCCAAGACCATGGTCTCAAGTCACCCTTCGGACCTGGAATTAAACTCACTCCTGTGGCTTCCAGTCAACCAACAATCAGGCCTGCAAGGTGAATGTTTACATCAGGTAGGTACATTCCTCATAACAATCAACCATGGGGGATTGGAAGGGCAGCATTTGCACAGGGAGAGAGTTCAGAGGGCAGGAATGCATAGGAAAGGACACAGGGGAAAGGTGACCACAGGGAAGAAGTGGGAAGAGAGATGTTACATTATGGGGATTGCAATCAATAGCATGTGCATGAATTTATGAATGGAAAATGTATTTGCTCTGGAAATTTTCACCCAAATCACAATTAAAAAAAAAAGTATAAAATGTAAAAACTAAAACAAAAACTCTCACGAATGAGAAGAAATTTCTTGAAACTAATAAAGGATATGCTTTAACAATAATTATAAATAACACTTGACAATGAAACAGAATCATTCTCATTAAAGACAAGCACAGGACAAGATTCCTCCATCATAACTTCTATTCATTACCATACTAAAAGTTCTAATCAATGTAATAATTAAAGAAAATAAGAGATGGCAATATAAGAGAACCCAAGAGAATCACCTAAATTCATTAAAGTAGATTAAGATCAAAATATAAAATTATATAGCTATCTTATATAGAGTAATAATCAATAATAAAATGTAATGGAAAAAGAATTCCATTAACAATATAGATAGAAAGCTAAGAATAAACCTAACAAAGAAAATGTAGGAACAAAGATAAAGGAAATAAAACTTTTGAAGGATATTAAAAGATGTGAGTAAATGGAATGAAATATTGCCATATCTATAGAAAGATTCAATATTGATGAAACCTGAACTGATACTAAAGTTCACTTTAAAGAGGGAATCACAGTAAGAGCCAATCTTTTTTGACAAAAGAATTACATTGTATTTGTCCAGATTTCAAAGATACTGTAAAAGTCTAATAATTAAAACAGTGTGGTAGTGACCCAGGAACAGACTAACAGATTAATAGAAAAAAAAAAAAAAAGAAAAAAATGGAAACTAATATTTGAGGATGCAGTTTATGGCAAGAGTAGCATTTCAGGAAAATGGGAAATAGATTGAGTGTTCAATAAATAATATTGGGACAATTAGTTATGAAATTGGAAAAAGAAATTAGTCTTATACATCTCATAACAAAAAATAAATCTATATGGTTTCCAAAATTAATGGTGAAGGTAAGTAGTAGAAGAATGTAGAAGAATATTTTTCTATACTTGAAGTAGGGAAGGCATTTCTAAAGAAGAAATTTCCTTCCAGAAATTGTGAAGGAAAAGACTGACAAGTGTGACTATGTAAATATTAAAAAATTTCTGTATGGCAAAGAACTCAGAATGAAAAGATAAATGACAGAAAGGAAAAACAATGTAATACGTTTTCAACTTACTTAAGAAAAACACATTAGCATTTAAAATATATAGGGAGTCACTGCAAATCAATAAGAAAAAGACAAAAATCCAAGAGGAAAAAATATGTAAAGGATATATGAACAGGAAACTTCCAGAAGAACTTGCTTTGTTACAATCAGGGAAATGTAAATAGAAACAAAAATAAGATACATCTTTAAATTTATCAGATTGGCAACCATCAAAAAGATTATCTATCAAGTGTTGGTGGTGGGGGTATAAATTTGATAAAACTTTTTGGGAAGATGATTTGGGAATATGTGTCAAAATTTAAAAAGTAAATGTTCTTTTATAGAGAAATTCAAAGCATGTGAATATTGAAGGTAATATTGTTTGGATGTATCAGTTCTTATGTTCATTAAAAAAAAAATCACATTTTATAATGTTTTTAAGCATATAAGCCAATCAGAGAAATAGTATAATTTAAATAAGAGGAAGCAAGAAAAGCCTGAAGCAGTAAGAAAACAGTAAGGAAAGTAATACTTAAATAAGCCTGAGGCAAACCTTCCTGAAACAACAAATGGATTGATTATGCAATGCTCTCCAACAGGCCTTGGTGGAATTCTAGCAATTGTGACATTTAAATGGAATCTTGGAAATACACATGCATTTTGTAATAAGTTTATGAAACAGCCAGGTGATTAAATTGCATTATCTCTTAAGTATTTTTGCATCTCTCTCATGCAGTGACTTTCTGGACAGGTTAAAATATATTAGCAATATAATTTTGCTATTATTTGTTCAGGAGCTCTGGTAGCATAGTGCCTAAGGCACTTGACTGCTAACCAGAAGGCTGATGGTTCAAACCCACCAGCCACTCCTCAGAAGGAAGGCTGGGCAATCCTACTTCCGTAGTGATACTGCCTCGGAAACCCAAGGAGGGGTCACTATGAGTCGGGGCCGACTCGATGGCAAATAACAACAACAACTAACAACAACATTATTTGTTCAGAAGTATCATGATACACTTATTCCCTACATCATGCAAAATACATAAAAAGATTAAAGATGTAGTTGAATGTTTTAGAAATTTATCACAGCTTATAGAAACATAATCTCCAGATAAAGCATGAGAAGTTCAAGCATATAAAGAAAACCCATTTCCAAGTACACCAAAATTTCAAAGCAGTCTGTCAACCATGAGAACATAGTTTTATAGAGATACTAAATCCAGACCTTAAATTTTAGGCATATACTATATATTTCTCAAATAGTGTGGCACATAAATAATGCACATGTGCATAACCGGCAGAAATGACAAAAAAAAAAAAAAAAATTCTGGTGCAGCATGACCATGCATGTACTACACATGTCTTGTGACAGTTCCAGAAGTGAATTTTTACCTCATTCACCCTCATTTAATAGTCTGAAAATGTTATTTTTGATCATATTTGTATAATAAAAGTATAAGCCATGGTTGAGAAGTCATGGATTGAGTTTGGTAGTACCTCAGTAATTAGAAAATAAACAATTGAAACTATGCATTTGCTCTGGGGCAGTTTACAGCTGGGTCAGAAAGTGGCGCAGTTCCTTGTAGCCAATTTTGCATGCAGGTACATTGCTCCAGAGATGGGTGTAGAGTTGGGCAGAGGTTGTGTGTGTGGCTGTACAGTCCCAGCATAAGCTGGTTCCATGGTGGGCTGGGCACTGCCTGTGCACGCTCAGGTCATATAGTGCTAGCCCCACATGAGACTGGGCAGCAGGATGGTGTGGCATAGGTGTGCATTGTCCTGGTCCTCTTGGGGCCTCCCGAGAACCATTTGGACCCATCTCATCTGAGCTAGGGGCATGTGACTCCTCTGCACCTGTGGCTCTCATCCTGCCTAGTGGTGTCCAAGTAGGTGGGAGATTCAATCAGCCTAAATGCAGAGACTGGCCAGGCAGAATGCAGGGAGGAATGTGCAGGGCTGTTGTGTGCCAGCCTCACCTGCCTGAATGGCCTGTTCAGCCATGGTACGCAAACACATGCACCTCCTAAGTTGGGGTTGGCTGTCCTGGCATGGGCTGTTTCCAGGGCAGAAAAAGTGATCTCTTCCTGCATTGGAGAAAGTGGTTTGCAGAGTGGGGAAGGAATCTTGCCTGGAGAGGAGCTGCTTTAGGAACTGAACGGTAGGCTGATGAGGGTCTGCTGCTGAGAACCAAACCTCACATCAATTGGTACCAAGATGAAGACTTAGCATTAAATCCATTGGACAGAAAAAGAAACAGAATTCAAAGTCATCAGCATGTACAAAAATATTAGGATAGTGCACCATGGAAAAAAGGCATAGGACAATATGCAAAAATGAAATGCAAAATGCAATATGCAAAATGCAATATGCAATATGCAAAAATGAAAAAAGGCATTGCACAATATGCAAAAATGTATAAGGCAGGTGTTGTTTGTGTAAAATGCAGTAAACTTTCCTACTTAGGAGTTATAATCTGTTTTTTTTTAACCTCATTTCATATTTTATTTCCATTTTTAGTTTTTTTATCCTTTCCTTTTTCATATCCAGAAACCACTAAGCCACTTAAGTATTGTGGAATGCCTACAATTCTCCATATTCCATGGAGGTAGATTATTTTCAGTGGAACTATTGCCTTTTCTGTAAAGTTAATCAAGGACTGAAACTTTAAGGACAAGGATACATTTCTTTTCCATCCACAGTGACTCAGTTCTGGAAACAAATCAAGTACTAACCACAGCACCTCTAGTTCCTCTGGCACCCTTAGGACCACTTTCCCCAATTTGTCCAAGAGCACCTCTGCTTCCAATTTCTCCTGTGGGTCCCATTTGTCCTTTTTCACCCTGTAATTGTCATTAGTAAGACAGAAAAGTAAGGAAAAAAACAAAAAAAAAAAACAAAAAAAAAACAACAAGTATATACTTAGACTAATTAACTGTATCATATACCTGAATGATTCCTTAGGATATTCCATAAACCAAATTTTATAACCAGTAACTTTGCTTTAATTTAACAGTATGATACACCACTGCCGACAACAGTAATACATTGCCACCAGTCAAGGTATTTTAAAGAAATAATTAAAAGTAATTTCAGAAAACAAAGATTTAAAAAATGTTAGCTAAACAAGGAGAGGATAGCTAAGTGTTCATGTGGAATTCCAAGTATCCAGGCTTTTTATTTTGGAAGTCTTACTGATTGACTGATTGCCATTGTGACAGAACATAGGCCCTACGAAAACTTCAATGCCACAAGGATCTGATTAATGTGGAATAGACTTCTCTGTGCCGCTCTGCACATCCAGGCTCATCACTCAATGGCTTGGGATATATCTTCAAACATACATATCATTTACTTTTTTTATTTTACATACCACTGAAAACTGTTTACCTTCTGTTTTCCATTACACTGACTGATCCTTTCCTACTGCCAAAACAGAGTTAATTTAAACAACATTAAGTGTTATTATTCATTTTCTGAAAGCAGAAACTAACCCATTCCATTATTAGTTATGAAGAAGATGCAAAGAAAAGCTAAAACTGTGACTAGAGTTAGTCAGGAAGTTTTTTTTTGGCATTCATAGGGTTGAAGAACTTCAAATAGTTTTAAAGGCTTTTTTTGTGCTCTCTTTTGAACATCAGATAGACTTTATTTACTTTCCTAGTGATGCAGGTTGTTGTATAGATGTACATTGTTCCACATTACTTCTGAAACTGATTTTAGACATAACATTATGTATGATGAAAAGAGACTCTGATATTGGGGTTATTTTTTTGTGAGAAAGAATGGCAATTAAAATTTGCCTAATTCATTTTTGTTTTCTTTTCTGATAATCCTTTACACTGCCCAAAGATTCTGAGAAATATGGACTAGTGTTATATTAGCAGAAATGCTAGAACTGGACTTAGGGAACAAGCATATGGTGTGATTTGAAGTTAATTATAGTAAATATAGTCAGGACTATCAAAGTGAAATAGGAAAACTTTTTATATGTCTTCCTACTATTTAAACAAATTGTTGATTGCAATAATTTTTCTTTTTTTCTTATTTTTTAAGAGCTTGTTTCACATTCAACGTTACATGTGCATTTAGTTTCATTTCCCATTTACCATGTCCAACCCTAACCCAGTCTCCTCCCCTCCCTACCCTGTAATCCTCCCCCTGTGCCCCTCATATTTATGTACTCCTGTTTGTCCTGCATTTCCTCAATTTGAATGTTGATCCTCTGGTGTTCCGTGGTCTATTGATCTAAGGGATGTATTACCATTGAGTATGTGGGTGCATCATCCTGGGTTGAGTGGTCTGCGTGTGCATCTTGTTAACTCTTGGGCTGAGAGCCAGCCCCTGGGGGTGTGTTTTATTCCAGGGGAAGAATGTATCCCAGGGCCATAGTATTGGGGGTCTTCCCAGACTCCATCTGACCAGTAATTCTGGTCATTATTGAGTGTTTGGATTTTGTTCTGTTTTTCCTCCCACTCTATCTAGGATTTCCTGATCTTTCCTTTCCACATGAAATTAGTAATTAGTTTTTCCATGTCCTTAAAAAATTTTGTTGGAATCTAGATTGGGATTGTGTTAAATGTGTAGATTGCTTTAGGTAGTATTGACATTTTCACAATATTTAGTCTACCTATCCATAAGCAAGGTGGGTTCTTCCATTTATGTAGTGCCCTTGTTGTCTCTTGTAGCAGTGTTTTATAGTTTTCTTTGTATAGGACTTTTGTTTCTCTGGTGAGGTTTATTCCTAGATATTTTATCTTTTTAGTAGCTATAGTAAACGGTATTATTTCCCTTGTTTCTTTATCAGAGGAATCTTTGTTGGTTTAGATGAATCCAACTGATTTTTGTATGTTGACCTTGTGTCCTGCCACTTTGCTGAGCCTCTCTATTAGTTCCAGTAGTTGTTTTTATTGAGTACCTTGGGTTTTCTATGTACAGGATCATATCATCTGCACATAGAGATAGTTTTAGTTCCTCTTTGCCAATTTGTAAGCCTTTTATTTCTCTTTCTTGCCTCACTGCCCTGGCCAGGACTTCCAACACAATGTTAAATAGAAGTGGTGATAGGGGGCATCCCTGTCTGGTTCCCATTCATAAGGAGAATGCCTTGAGTCTTTCTCTACTAATAATGATGTTGGCCATTGGCTTTATACATATACCCTTTATTATGTTGAAGAATTTCCCTTCTATCCCTATTTTGCTGAGAGTTCTGAAGAGGAATGGATGTTGGATTTTATCAAATGCCTTTTCTGCATTGATTGATATAATCATATA